CGGAGTTCCTGGACGTTCAGGAGATCGGGGCCTGCATGCGAGCGCCAGACTTTTATACCCACAAACACACACTTGCAAACACACATACACGTACGCATTTTGTGGCCCACTGGTTCCCCTGTGTCTAGGAGACACTCAAGGGCTACCAGGCTAACGAAACAAGAAACACATGCTGTGTGTTCTCTGCTTAAAGGAAGAGCAGCACCAGAGGCAAATGGGACAAAGCAGCACGTAATCCCACAGGCCATTTAAAGCAGTCATTATCAAAATGAGTGCCACAACAGTGTCTGTGTGTGAGTGAGTGTGTGTGTGTGTATGTGTAACAGAGTTGGAAAGGACATTAGAGGTCTTCTAGTCCATCCCCCTGCTCAGTCAGGTTTGCTTAGATTGTTTTGGACAAATGGTTATCCAATCTCTTCTTGAAAACCTCCAAGTATGGAGCAGTCACGACGTCTGGAGTCAAGGAGTTCCTCTGCTTAACAGTGGCTAAGACGCTGAGCTTGTCGATCAGAAAGGTCAGCAGTTCGGCGGTTCGAATCCCTAGTATAGGTCTCCTGCGTGAGCAGGGGGTTGGACTAGATGACCTCCAAGATACCTTCCAACTCTGTTACTGTTAAAAAAGCAGATACCTCTTCTAGTGCAGTGGAGAAGTCTGGGTGGTTATCCACGGTCACATTCACATGTGTCCACTTGATCCCTGCCTTTTGTTTCCATTGGGACACCGGGTTGAAAGGTAACACTTCAGTTGATTCATTGTTGACCTCCTGTGACTCACTGGTCTACTATTTATACTACGTGACTACTATTTATACTACGGGGAGGAACTACGGATCCAAAACACGTCCTCATTCAACCTCGCCAGTCAGAACCAGCAGTACTGGGTGGGTCGGACCAACGGTCTGATCAAGTAAAGCAGCCCCCTTTGAGGATGAGATGGGGATTTTTAGAGGCAGGATATAAATCAGGGGTCGGCAACCTTAAACACTCCAAGAGCCACAAAGGTCCTAACCAGAAGCCCCTCCATTCAATTCTGGAGCCGACCGGAAGTCCAGTTCCCCCACCATAGAGTCTCCTCCTGGCATGCCGTGTTTCCCCCCCATCTCTCCACCAACTGGAAGCTCCTCTCAAAATTGTGGCACCAACTGGCAACAGGGAGCCGCAGCAGAGGGATGAAAGAGCCACATGCGGCTCCAGAGCCACACAGGTTTCCTCAGATGCCCCCTTCCAAAGCTTTGAAGCATCAAGCGATCGCGGGACCAAGGAAGAACTGTCGCTAGCCCATCAAAAGAGAGTAAAAAAGATGAACTTTGGACATATCCAACTAATACAACTGTACAAATAGAAGCCTCCTTCCTAGAACTGTTCTGGAATATTCTGCCTCACATTCTCCAAAAGCACCAGAAGGCAGGACAAGAAGCAATGGATGGAAAATAATCAAGGAGAGAATCAACTTGGAACTAAGGAGAAATTCCCTGACAGGACGAACAATTAACCAGTGGAACTAAAGGTAAAGATTCCCCCTTGCACATATGTGCTAGTCGTTCCCAGCTCTAGGGGCGGTGCTCATCTCTGTTTTAAAGCCGAAGAACCAGTGGTGTCCGAAGACATCTCCATGGTCATGTGGCCGGCATGACTCAACGCCAAAGGCACACGGAACACTGTTCCCTTCCCACCAAAATTAGCGGTCCCTCTTTTTCTACTTGCATTTTTAGATACTTTCGAACTGCTAGGTTGGCAGAAGGTGGGACAAGTCACGGGAGCTCCCTCCGTTACGCGGCGCTAGGGATTCGAACTGCCAAACTGCCGACTTTTCTGATTGACAAGCTCAGCGTCTTAGCCACTGTTAAGCAGAGGAACTCCTTGACTCCAGACATTGTGACTGCTCCATCCTTGGAGGTTTT